TTTGACGCGGCCAGCATCGACGTGACAACCCAGTGCACCGAGTACGCGGGCCACGCGACCGAGATTGGGCGCACGCTGGACCTTACGGCGTACGACTTTCTGGTGTGCGTCGGAGGGGACGGGCTCGCGTCCGAAGGTAGAAAGAACCTTCTTGCATTCCTCGTATATGACGTCGCCACGCCTGCGTGTAGTCGTGCAGGGCCTCATGCGGCGCCACGACTGGCACGACGCGATTCGCCTCCCGTTCGGGGTACACTTGCAACATCACAATGTATGTGATGGACGCTGTGGTAGCTCATTCCGGGCGGCTCGGGCAATGGCCTTACACAGTCGCTTACAAAGCTGCTCGGCGAAGCCTTCCAGCCTGAAAACTGCGCCTATTTGATCGTCAAGGGCGCGCCGCAGCCCATCGACATGATGACGGCGCGTGCGTCATGCGAGTGTCGACGCCATCCACTGACCTGCTGCGTAGGCAACGCCGAGCAAGACACGTTCTACAGCTTCCTCTCGCTCGCATGGGCGTTCGTCGCAGACGTCGACTTGGAGTCGGAGACGTACCGGTTCCTCGGCGGCGCGCGCTTCACGATAGCGTCCGTGGCCAAGATCCTCTCGTGGAAGCGCTGGCATGGGACGCTTTCGTATCTGCCGATCGAGGTCGACGAGAGCAGCGAGAGCGGGTTCTGGGAAAGCAACCCGACACCGTCTGGGTCGGCCCCTCAGCTCGACCTTCTGCACGACATCTCGGCGCCCGTGCCAACACATTGGAGGACAATCGAAGGACCTTACTCGTTCTTTTGGGCGACGAGTGCGGCTCTTCCGTCGTCTGACTGCCACCTCGCGCCCGGTGCGCACATCAACGACGGCTATATCCACATTATTGCCGCGCCCGAGAACCTCTCGATGGTGGCGCAAACCCAGCTCCTTTTGGGCCTCGAGACAGGCGCGCATATCGAGTACCCGTTTGTCCACGTCATCAAAACCCGGTATGCATGTGCTTTGAATCTATGCGAGATGCGACGAGACCGAACAGGGCCTACCAACTGCAGCGCACCGACACCAACTACGTTTCGATTGACGGCGAGCGCCTCGGGGGCGAGACGATCCAGGTACGCATGTCGCATATGCTTGATACATTGATACAAATCCATGCAGGTGCAAATGCACAAGGGCCTTGGGCGCGTCATGTGCTTGCCGCTGCCGTCGCAAACGTAATGGAATCTGTATTAGACAACGTGTCGTCTAGCGAGGTAATCGTATCTACTTGAAACGGAGCGCGACAAGCTCCTTGACGCAAAACACCGTGAGCAGGAGGGCCATGGTCGCCGTCGACTTGGAGGCGAGGAAGCTCGCACCACGCGTCGAGGGAGGGTCCTAGCACCAGATGAGCGTTCGCGGCAAGAGGGCGGTTGGCGACGCTGTTGTACGTACGGTCTTCGTCAGTTGGCGGAGACGATCCTCCCGCTCTTTGATCTCGGCCTTGAGCTTTTCGATTTCAGCCGTCGGCGTCGGAATCGACCGCGAGAGAATGCCCGACGGAAGCGACCGCGGCTTGGGTGCTGTCGCATCGACGGCCGGAGCCGTGTCTGTCTTGGCATCGGCCATAGTGGCGCACTTCTACACAATCCGTGAGCGTGATGGGATTGTAGGGCATCGTGTCGGTACCGCAGCCAGCTGCTTCACGTCGACGTCAATGTCGCGGCCAACCGCCGACTGATGCACGGCGCGCAGCGTATCCAGCTGCTCTTGGAGGGTCGCCAGCTTACTCTGAAGCGACTAGATCATCCCCGTCAGATCGACGGCGCTGCATGTATCGTTCAAGAACCGTACCTTGACCTTGGCGCTCTCGCTCGGGGCGGCCGCTTGCAATGCGCTCGCCGCCACCGACGAAACGGCTTCGACAGCGCGGGGAGCGACTTGAAGCGATTTGATTGTGGCTACATGCGTCGCAATGGTTGCCTACGCACGTATGAGCACCGAAAAGCGCCCTTCTTGTCAGTACCATGGCGCTCGACTTGTCCGCGGCGAGCTTCTCCTCGAGCTTGATGAGCTGAGTCTCTAGGTTCTGGACTTGCTCCTGGTGCGCT